TTCCTTCCATTTGCCTCCTGATCTGTGTTGTTCCTTCTGATTGTAAACGATGTGAGGATTTCATTCATATTATTAACATTCCAAGATGCTTCCACAAAAATTCGTAAACATGCTTTAAAAAAAAAATGTACGAAACATCACAGAATCTATTCCAAATCAAACAATAGATGCTTAAGATCAAACCAACCCTTAATTTGCGCTTATATAAAACATAAAAACACCTTATTATTACTTTGCAATAATTACATCCAAATTCGTACAAAACTCTGTTGGTCGTCCATCACTTCTTAGAAAAATCTAAAGCAGTTCTGATTATAACATGAAATTCTTGTGGATCCCATCCCGGATGCCTTCAAAATTCTTGTGGATCCCCCAAATTCATACAAAACTCTGTTGGTCCTCGATCCATGCCACTTCTTAGAAAATTCTAAAGCAGTTTTGATGATAACATGAAAACTGTTATGTGGAAAATGGTTGTAGCTAGATTTAGCTATATTATTACTAAAATCCTAGATAGTACTAGATGTTATCCTCCTTCCAGTCAAACACACACGCACAAACCAAAGTTCCATTGAAAGTAAAGAAACATTCGCATAGCCAATATTGCTTAATTCCAATTTCGTACGACGAACATACCGTGAAAGATAAGAAACTAAAAGCTTCAAGAAAATGGAAATGTGCTACAAATGATTATAAAGTGGAAAAAGCAAGAACAAAAAAGGAAGTGAGTTAAATTTGCACCTGCTATGTTCAAACGACAAAGTTGGTTTCCCTTTGGTCGATTGCAAGAGAAGCTCGATGCAGCTTACTTGGTTCCTTTGGTAGATGGAAATATAATTTTTCTCCTAATAAGGGTTTAGAGCAATCAATGATGGGCTATATAGAACAACTTTTTTGTTTTATATGTTTATGTGAGACAAGTTTTGCCAGATTGAATGAATGTCTTCCAGCTATGTACCTTATCTTTTTGCCGGGCCATGAGTTGAATGTAGACGCAGAGCATGGACTTGGGTTTGTATGAGACAAAAGACTGAACCAGACGTATGTTCAATTATTTTAATTTATTTTTTTAGTCCGAGCCATTCAATTCCTAATTATTTAGAGGGTATATTGCCGAAACTCTCTTGTTGAAAAGAGATGAAATTACATGTAGGATAGCTTAAAACACTAAAGGATAATGAAGAGCACGTTAGGCATAACAAAGGAATAAAAAATACACACCTAAAGGATGTTGAGAGTATTTGTCCCACATTGAAAAGTTAAGGGACCAAGCCTGGGTTTATAAGGAGTTGGGCTACTCCCCCCCATTGCCAATTGGTTTTGGGGTGGAACCTCAACTTCCTTCAAAGGATTGATAGGTGCTACCAATCCTTGAAAGTACATAACGTAAATAAAGAACACACGAAGATTATTTTACGTGGTAAGACCCCACTTTTGGGGAAAATTCACGGGACAAAGTACCAATTTGTTTGTAACTTAACTTCTCTCGGGATTACTCCTTCTCTTCTTATGTTGAGTCTGATACTTGACGCGATCGATTCAAGCTCACTGGAATCACCAAGATAATCTTAGTCTTGATAATATGTCCTCAAGAAAACAAAGCACATCAACTTTCTTTTGTAATTTGAAAATCAGAAAAAACCCACATTGAAATTGTTGAGAAGAATGAAGCATAGGCTTCCTCTTTATAGTGATTTTCAAAACAGGAAAGAAAACTAATCAGCACTTAAAATCGAAAATCAAATAAATTGATGGGTACACTGCTGAATTGCCCCCTAAACTTGTACATAATTATCAATTTACCTCCTGATCTTTTTTTTTAGCGAATTAAGGGCTCGAATTAAATTTTATTCTCAATTTCCCCCTTGCCGTCTAAATCAACAACATGTCATCCAATTTGCCCTCAAATATGAGAGCAAATTGGTCATTTCATATGTTAAAAATAATTAAATACTTCTAAATAAAATAAAATGACATAAAAATGAAAAAAAATATTTTATAAACAAAAGAGTGGGACCCACCCACCCTACCCCCTTCTCCTCCGCCTCTCCCCTTCTGCCATCTCTCTTTCTCTGCTACCCAAGACCCATTCGTGCCTTCCCCAGCCATATCTACCTTTGCTAGCACTTTGCACCCACCAACGGTGCTACGGTTCTGTGGTGGTCGTCGAGGAGTGAGGAGTGTGGTGGCGGCTGGCTAGAGTTGTCGAAATAGAAATTCATGGATGCAACAAAACCCATCACCGACTTCTGCAACCCTAAAAAAGCCATGGCCCTACACCGCCAAACTCACCGCCTCTCCACCTGTCATCGCCACCCTACCAAACCCATCACCGGCTTTGGCGCCCCCTGCCTCTTCGTCGGCCAACGCCCCCGACCCGACCCGGCGCAAGTCCTGCGACGTTCGAGCTCGGAACACTCAGTCGGAGCTCTTCAACATCGACGACGACCGCAAAGGCCTGCCCAGAAAGTTTGAGGTCGAACTGAGAGGAGAAGAGCAGAGAGACGATAGTGGAGATGAAGCTAGGGTTTTGGATTCGGATGCGGAGTTCAAGACGATGAAGGAGCTGATAGATCTTGAGTGGGAGAGGAAGAAGGGTGCGGGTCGGGATTTGAAGGAAATCGCAGGGACATTTTGTGGTTTTTAGAAACCAATTAGTTTTGTTTTTTTATTTGTTTTAATTTGGAATAATTCGGTGGTTGTGAATTTGGGGTTAGGATATTGAT